CCCATCCACTTATACATCGTATTTGGAACTTCAAAACGAATTCATGAACATACTTGATGGTAATTACCTTAATATGGATATTGTGTGAATTATGTAGAACTATTTGCCGAGACTCAAATCAGTATTTTAAACGTTCAAAATTCTTTGTTAATTCTTTATTAAACTGTTTACACTTTTGTTTCTTTTTTAGATATTCTGATCGATCATCACCATCTAGTTAGGAATAAATTTTTGAAAGGTACACTTCAATTCAATGTATTTGATCATTTCAGAATAATACCAAAAAAATAAAATAAATAAATAAAAAAAATAAAAAAATAAAATAAACATTGGTTCATACACCATAGAATATGGAGTTTTTTTTTTAACACAACAAAACGTAACTATACCCTTCCTGGCTAAATATTAAACGAGGTTTTATAAGCACACGAAAGTTGCGCTTTCAAAGAATTATGCAGGTTCTGTTTCCATAATATTATGTAATGGTTAACGAGATTTTTTTTACTGCTCTAAAATATTTGGTCATTGATTTATTATTTGTAAGATAAAACTTTAAAAAAAATATTAAGTTTGTTCAAAAACAAAGATTGACGAATTGCGTCGTGAGTTTATTTCTCTGGTCTTGGCTTCAAGTATTTCAAGTGTTGGGAGATTTTCCTTTATGTTTCTTTGTTTTAATGCTAGAAGAATAACAATTTTATTAAAAGTTAAATGTTCATTGCATGGCTTATTTGTTGTCTTAGTTCAATATACAATGTTTTAGCAGATGCTGGATCACATCACATTCATTCATCAATACACAGCACATGTATACACGTCTTTGTCACAGGGGTTAGCTTTTCTGAATGTACACTCTTGCTGACACAATCCAACTTGTTCATTAGAAACTTGGCATATATAGTCCAATGTGCCATACATTTCAGGCATGTAATATATAATATTTGGACGGCCAAAGGATGAACGACTATTTCTTGATGATCGTATCAGGTGATGATTCAATGTGCTGACCATGTCATCTAGACCGTCCTTCAGATAAAATATACAAATTCCATTAAAAAGTGATATTGTAAATTATGAAAAAAAAAATATTTTAAAGAAAAATTGGACGTTTAAACACTAGCTAATATTTTTCTAAGCTAGTCTGTTTTAAGGGCATAAAACACTCCTTCATTAACAATTTGGGAAATAAATAACAAATATTACAATATGTTTTTTACCTCATTAAAAGGTTTAGCAACATATCGTATGGAATGTAGAAAGTCCATATAAAATTACAACGCAGATGTTATATGTTAATTTTGTCTTTTTAAATGTGATACCGTACACATTACTCAAATTTGCAAATGTTTCATTTTTAATAAATTATTTTTCTTTTCATGGACAACAATCTCCAACAATGTACATTTTTCCACAAAGAAAAAAAGCCAAAAAAAATAAACCATCCTTTCCTCGTCATTTTTTTTAAAACCTAGAGTGATAATTTAATATTTTTTTCTATCAGCCCTAAACCATGGAAATATAAATTATAACGTCTTTCACTCTTACCTAGGCCTACTGTAGGCCTAATACAGTAAAAGATAAGTAATATAGTAAAAGATGAGCAATCTGAACATAGTACCTGAATAAGATGCATATAGCAGAAATGTATCAGGTTGACATCCAGGAAACCACCAAGGAAGTATCCTTCATCAAGCATATCCCGGAAAAAGAAAATCCAATATTCTGTACAGTGCCTCCTCAAAAACGACAACAAGTATTCAATCCGCTGATTAGCAGTGCTTGCTCCGGACAAGTGACTTAAATCCCCTGCCATTGGGTCATTATCAACCTTTCTAAAAAATCTGTATATCACGTACGGTACATGTGTATTTTTAGTGCCATATCGCTCCGTGTGATTCGTGGACAGCCACCTAAAGATTTTACTGCTTCTATGAAATATTCTCCAATCAGCCTTGGATCGGAAGAAGGGTGGTACGCATTCATCCATATAATTTTGCAAGAAAATCCATCAAATGCACAATGCATTCCATATCCCGTATCTCTTCAGTTTGTCATAACTATCCAAATGCCATAGACAATTTGAGCCCTTTGATGAGTACACTCACCTCATCAGCCTTCTTTTTCTTCGTTGCTCTGTACCTACCGGGTCTAAAACACCGAAGATTAACCTTATTTCTTCTTTCTTGCATCGCAAGTTGTGACCGACACATGCAATGCCCCTGAGGTCTGTATTTGGGTATGCACAAATTCCACAACGTCTGCAATGTCGCTGTAATGTCTCCTTCTAAACAAACCCATCTGCCTTAGTAAGCGTTTTAAATGACGTGAAAATAATATTTGCCCATGTTCTATCGCTAATATTCTAACAATATCCTTGTACAACAATCCCATGTAAAAGTATACCTTAATTGCCCAGTTCCTTTCGTCTACATCCATTCTAATATAAATTAAATAACTATGACAGGAAAAAAAGCAGTCATCTGCTTAAGAGAGTGAGAGGAGAGATGTGAGATGTGATACGGCTGTCATAAAGTTAGGGCGCCCTCGAAATTATTTCGAGGGAACGAAATAGTATTTCGAAGGAACGAAATAATATTTCGAGGGAACGAAATATTATTTCGAGGGAACGAAATAATTTAATATTTTTTCTAACCATGTCCCTTTAGGGGCTCCGTACTAAACAGTTAATGGGAAAATAAAGAATAAATAAAGGAGGGAACGAAATATTAATACGTTCCCTCGAAATTATTTCGTTCTTTCGTAATAATTTAATATTTTTTCTAACCACGTCCCTTTAGGGGCTCCGTACTAAACAGTTAATGGGGAAAAGAAAGAATAAATAAACAAAATAATGGTAAAAAATGTCTTAAAGAAATTCAGCAAAACTTTTAGTGAAGAGGTGAGTTTTGAGTTGTGTTTTAAAAAGTGAGTCGGCGTTCTTGATTTCATCTGGAAGTGCATTCCATAACATGGGGGCGAAAAATATATGTCTGGAGATTTTTGTATGATCGGAAATGCAAGAAAAGAAGGAGGGAAGAAGGAGGAGAAGGATGGGAAAGAGAATGTTTATCCTGTACCCGACCGAGTTACATTTTCTCGCAATTCACATTGGCGGATCTGGGGGAGGGGGTAATGGGTCCTGACCCCTCCCTTGGGCAACAAAAAAGGGGAAAAAGAAAAGAATTCTAAACCTACATTTTCAGGACTCGTGAGCTGATTTTTTTTTTCTTTTTTTTTTTGTTGCTATTAGAAAATTAGAATTTGAAGAACATAAAATTCATTAAAACACACTTCAGATGTCGGGAAAGCTCAATTCCCGCCATCTAGGAATCAAAACTTTCCCGGACCGGACCACCCTTTCTTTTTGGGATTTATCGATTCATGGAAAAAGAATACGCATGCAACTACTCATTTGTTTATGTATGTATACACACATAAAATAAAAAATGAGAAAAATTTCTAAAACTATTGTTATACTGGACAGAATTTATAATCAAAAAATCATTACTACTACTCTGAAGAAAAACAGGCTACGTAAGCTATTTAGAGATACTTGTACCAAAACCATTTTCTCTTGCAATAATGAATATTACAAACAAATTGATGGTGTGTCCATGGGCTCGCCCCTTGGGCCAGTCCTATCTAATATCATAATGACGGAGTTAGAAAACACTGTTATTCCTAACTTTGAACAGTCTGGTATTATTAAAATCTATGCCCATTTTGTAGATGATACATTAGTTCTTGCTAAGCTCTCGGATTTTAAACTCATTTTAGATTCTCTTAATTCTTTTCATCCTTTACTTAAGTTTACGTTTGAAGCATTTGATACTTGCAAATATGTACATTTTCTTGATTTAAATTTCAATTATCGCAATGAAATAAGTATTCACAGAAAGAAAACACACACTGGTCAGTATGTAAACTTCGAAAGTTTTGTCCCTTTTAATCATAAAGTGTCATGGATTCGAAGCTTAATTTCCAGGGCTAAGAAATTATGTAACCCAGAACAATATTATGAAATTCATGTCTTGGAATGATTTCCCTAGACAATTAGCTAGCAAGCTTTTATACTCCAAAGCCTAATGATGCTAATGATGACAATGAAAATGTTAGTAAGGATATTACTAAAATTTGGGTACATATTCCATATATTGGTCGTCAAGGAGAAATACTCCTCCTCCTCCGTAGATGAATTGGCAAAGTCAAAAGGAATCTAACTAAAGATTTTAAATTCATTACTTTATGGAAAACTAAAAAAGACAGGCGCCTTATAACTAGAGTGAATATTCTACAATCTCTAACAGTGTCATACACAATCATATTGAGTCTTGCGATGCTTTTCAATATATTTTAAAAATTCATAATTTGCCTAACACAATTAAAGATGATTTTATTGTTAATTTCAAATCTCAAATATATTCTAACACTGCAATAATTGATAGTTCTCATATCTTGTCCCATTTACTATTTAAAGAAGCTCTTGCTATCCATCACCTTAACCCTAAATTAAACTGTGGTCTCAAAGCATCAAGAGAGTTGAAATTGTTATCTAATGTAATCTAACCCAACTTAATTGCCTCTCTCATAATCACCATTATGCTTAATCACCATTGTTATTGTACTAGCTTTTAATCCCCTCATTTAAATATTGTAGCATTTTTTGTAATCACTGTCTAAGTCTTCTCATTTCTGATGATGACCCAATAAAGGTCGAAACGTTGAATCAATGCCCCCCCCCCCCTTCTCTTTATTCGGAGTAACGTTCATTTTAGGAAACCTAGAAATATAGTAAAAACGCTGAATAGTAATACTCGAGCGTCGCGACAGATGCGGACGTTGGTTCGTGTAGGTGCTTTTCAGTCGTCTTAGGTTTCTTCTGGAAACTTAAGTTTAATTTTGAACCAGAGCCTTGCAGGCGTCAACGTTCCTATGCATGATACAGGACTTAAAAAGTATATAGGCCCTATATATATACGTGTATATATATACACGTACATATACATACACATATATACGTATACACCTATATATATACGTATATATACGTATACATGTATATATATATATGTATATACGCGCGCGCGTGTATATATATACGCATGTATATATACGTATATAATATATACATATATAATATATACGTATATAATATATACATATATAATATATACATAATATATGTATATAATATATATATATATATATATTATATATTATATATATAT